GATGGCCGTGGTGCTCCCTGCAGTGATGGACATGTTGTTGCCTGCAGTGATGGCTCTGGTGTTGTCTGTAGCATTAGCCATGGTGCTCCCCGCAGTGATGTCCATGGGGCTACTGGTAGCAATGGCTGTGGTGCCCTCAGCAGCGATGGCTGTGGTATTACTGGGAGCGATGGCCGTGGTGCTACTGGGAGTGATGGCCATGTTGCTGCTGGCAGTGATGGCTGTGGTGCTCCCTTTAGAGATGGCCACGGTGCTCTCTGCAGCAATGGCCATGGTACTTCCTGCAGCAATAGCTGTGGTGCTACTGGCAGCAACGGCCATGGTGTCCTCTGCAGTGATGGCCGTGGTGCTGTCTGCAGCGATGGCCCTGGTGTCCTCTGCAGTGATGGCTGTTGTTCTTCTCACAGCTATGGCTGTGGTTCTGCCTGCTGTCATGACCAAGGTGAGCTCTGCAGTGATGGCCGTGTTGCTGTCTGTAGCGATGGCCGTGGTGCTCCCTGCAGCAATGGCCATTGTGCTGCTGGCAGTCTTCTCACAGCGATGGCTGTGGTTCTGCCTGCTGTCATGACCATGGTGAGCCCTGCAGTGATGGCCGTGTTGCTGTCTGTAGCGATGGCCGTGGTGCTCCCTGCAGCAATGGCCATTGTGCTGCTGGCAGTGGTGTCCTTGGTGCTGCCAGTAGTGATGGCCATGGTGTTCTCTGCAGTGATGGCTGAGGTGCTGCCGGCGGTCGTGGCTGTTGTCTCCTGCAGTGCGGATACCCCTAGACCTGTCCAGGTGCCGGGACGTGACGAGCTCACTGCCTGTCCCATGAAACGGGTGATGATGGCGGTGGGAGAAGTGGCACCTGTTGGTGCCCTGTGGAAGGTCTGCCCAGCTGCTGGCTCCCCACTTGCACCAACACGAAGCTGGGATGAGGAGGCTGTTGCTGGCTCTTCTGCTGAGCTGTGCGGGCTGGGGAGGGGGAAACTGGGCCCCGTGATGGCAGGGCTGGGACTGAGAATGACCCAGGGCCCACCGGTTGTCTCCGCGGAGCGGGTACGTGCTGCTGGGGATGGGACAGGTCGCCTGCCTCTGCTGGTCTCCTCATGTGTTGCAGCCAGGGACAGGGCACTGCTGGTGCTGACGGCCTTTGCCACGGCAGATGGCACGGCTGTGGTGGGCCCGGTCTCCACGAAGGTCTGCCTGCTGGCGGAGGTGGCTGGTGGGATTGTGTTGCCGGGGAACACACTGGCAGTTGGCGTGGCTGCCGGACTTGTGCCAGCGGTGTTGGAGACAGGCACGTGGGTGCCGTTGGTGCTGGTTGTGGGTGCTGCACCCCCGGCGCCGCTCTCAGAGGGCGTGGTGTCCGTCAGGGCAGAGGTACCCCTGACACCTGACCGGGATGCGGCTGTAGTCTCCGACGTGTGTGTGGGGATAACAGCCAGCAAGGAGACCCCAGCTGAGGGCTTGTCCTTAGCAGCTGGGCTGAGAGCCCTCAAGGCTGGGTCACCGGTGCTTTCGGCAGCCTCAGGGAATGGGGTCGGGGTGACACGGGGGCTGCGTGGGGCAGAAGCGCTGCTGGGGACAGCAGAGGAGGGGGTTGTGACCCTAAGACTGGCATCACCTGCTCCTGCTGCTGGACCAGTAATGGTGATGCGGGGGGTGATGGAGGATGCTACCACCACCAGACGGGTGTTCCCAGGGACAGGAGGGGACAAGCTGACATCTGGCTCAGCAGTGCTGTGAGTGAGGCCGGGTGAAGGTGCTGTGGCTGGCCCCGGGGCTGCGCCTGCAGCCATGATGGCCACTGCCGTAGGGCTTTTGCTGTTGGGTGTAGAGAGTGCTGACCAGGTGACATCGCTGGTGCCTGGCTCAGCCACCCCAGCCACAGGAGTGGGCAGCCCCAGGGGCAGCCCCACAGCCCCGTTCTGGGTGGTGGGAGAAGCCATGTCCATGTCCGAGTCCACGCCGATGTTTGTGGTGGGCTCAGCAGTGCGATACCTGTGGTCCAACGCAGCCACGCTTGGCCGAGCAGCGATGCTGGCTGTGGCAGGGGGTGACACCAGGAGGGCTGTCCCCAGGGCGGTGTCACTGCTGTGGGGGGTACCTGTCACCACTCCCGTCTCTGCGTTTTCAGCCGGGGCTAAGCCTGGAGCTGGCTGCGTGGAGTTGCCATCTCCTGCCCGCTGGGACCTGCCCCCGCCTCCCTCTGTAGCTGCATTTTCAGGGAGTGGTGGTGTGTCCACCCAGGGTGTCCTGCTGGTGGCCGCGTTGGGGAGGGGACTGGACGTGGCCAGAGCGGGGCTGGGGTTAGCCATGGCTGGTGGGGGCGAGCGACCGCCCAAGGGAGCCAGGAGAGGCAGACCCACTGGGGGCCCTGTTTTGGGAGTACGGGTCCCTTGGGCACGTGGCTCTGGTGATGGCCCAGCAGTGACAATCTCGTGGCTGGGAGCTGGCCCCGCTGCACTGTCACCTGGGTTCTCCTCCGTGCCCACCTCCAGGGACGCTGTCCCCACCGCCTGCCCCGTGGTGCTGCCATCAGGGTGTGGGTCACCTGAAGCACCCTTTGCTGGTGGTAGGGTGGCTGGAGACAGTGGGGACACACCCAGAGCCATCCCTGCAGTGGCACTGCCTTCCAGGAGAGGGGGGGAGCCTGCTCGTGATGCCACAGGGATGCTGGCTGCTTTGGGTACCCCTGGGGTGCCTGGCACAGCCGTGCCCAGTGGAGTGCTGGGTGACCACGTCTCTGCCCCTGGAGCTGCCCCATGTTGGGGCCCTGTCCAGAGAGGTGGGGCTGGTGCAGGTCCGGGGGTGACACCAGTTCCTGAGGGTGCTGCGTCCACAGCGGGACCAGGCTGGCCGTGGCTGGGAGACACATCAGGCACAGCTGGGGTGGCTCCAGAGTCCCACAGCATTGTGGTTGCATTCTCAGTGGCCAGCGACGCTGCTCCAGTCCCTGCTTCACTAGTTGGAGAGTTGCTAACGCGGGAGGACGGATGGGCAGCTGGCCCAGACCTGATGCCATACACCCCAAGGGAAGATGTTGGTGCTGCAGCAGCTCGAGGGGCCCCGTCTGGCTTTGCTCCACCAGCGCCCAGGAGGGACAAGGACGTGGCCATGGTGGGTCTGGCTGAAGGAGATCCGTCTGCAGCCACCTCTGCTGTGGTGATCCCAGGGCCTGCTGAGGGGTTCTGAGGGAGCAGGGATCCCATGGAGTGGGCAAAGTGCCCAGGAGAGGGATGACCATGGCCATCAGCAGCTGCCTGGGGGGATAGCCTCATGCTGAGCCCCACTGGGGTGGCTGTGGTCTCCAGGGAAGCGGTGCCTGCTGTGGCTCTGGTGCTGGGCTTGCTCCTGATGGGCACCAGCCCAGTGCTGGTGCTTCCCAGAGCTGGGAACAGCGCAGTGGGGACATGCTCTGCAGCGGTGAGATCCGTCGCCGCAGCCGGTGTGCCCGGAGCTAGTGCAGCGGCCTGGGGGTGGGTGACAGTGCTGGTTCCAGGCAGCCCATCTCCAGCAGTGTCGGGGGCCGTGCTGCGGCGGGGGGCAAGCGTCTCTGCTGTGCCGGGCTCAGCACCACCAGGGACCTGGGGTGAAAGGGCTGGAGGGGGCTGAGCCGGGGGCACAGGGAGGTCCTGCGAAGTGTTGTGGCCAGCGCTGGATGAGGCCCTTGTCCCTGGTTCTGTAGCCCCACCGATGCCCATGGTGGTAGAAGAGAAGTTGACCTTCGCCAAGGATGCACTTGGGGGGTCTGCAGCTGGTGGGGCCACTGTCCCGGCTCGCGCTGTGGCTGCATGGGGAGGACCCCCAGGGAAACCAGCAGCAGGGCTGGATGAGGCTGCTGCTGGCTTCATGGGGCCGCCCCTGTCCCCCGAGGGGCTGGGCGGGTGAAAAGAGGTGGCCTTGTCCAGCCCTGGTGTGTCCTCCTGGGACAGGAGCACGGCAGCTGCGTGTGGCTCAGCAGAGCTCTTGCTGATACTGGGGGGTGACGTCTGTGTGCTGTGCTCATCCTGGAGGAGCGATGGCACTGTGGTCCTTGCTGTCCCCAGCGTCCCCTCAGCACTGGCAGCGTTGCTCAGCTGCACCAACTCATTGGCATCGGTCAATTTGCCAGTGACTGAGGAAGATGCTTTTGTCCCTGGCAGTGGTTGAGCAGCCAGGACATGTACCACCGGCTGGGATAGACCTCTGCCTGGTGCTGGGGGGGCACCTTTCGTCACCCTGGCAGCACCCATGGGTGGCTCAGCCACAGTCTCCTCTTGCACTGGGGCGGTTCTTCCCAGGACTGGCTCTCCAGGGATGCTGCCCAGAGCCACTCTGGACACTTCCACAGGGTGCTTGGGAGCTGTGCTGCTGCTTGATGGTGGTCTGCTTGTGCCCATTACAGCGGGGACACCTGGAGCTGGGGACGATGTGGCTGTGGCTGGCCCACCACCACCACCACCCTTGGGAAGAGCCATCTCATGCCCAGTTGGCGCGAGGGGTGGAAGCTGCCCGTGCTGAGCGGTTGTGGGAGCCAGAGCGACGCTGGTCGTGTGGCTGGGAGGACCTGGGGAGGGATTC